TAAAGACAAGCTCAAAGAACAGACAAACACAAACACTGGTATATAATCAGATTATATGTCACTATACCATGGAGACAGACAAAAGCAGTCAAAAATTGTCTCTAAACATAGTAAATTCTTCGGCAAAATAATGAGCCAATGTACTACATATAAGCTGCTTACTGTAACAGTGATGTTCAGTTCATCAAGGCACACATTTGTTTATCTATACACTCAATTTGTATAAAATATCTGGAATTCTTTAAACCTAGTTGAAGGGTTATATTTATAATGACAATGAAAACAAGTTCCTGTTTTTGTCCTGCTCATTATGTGAGCGCTCCTTTTTATTTACATAATTGCTTACCATGTAAAAAGTATCTGTATGTTTAGTGACAAGCTTTTACTTAAACAAGAGAAAGAAAAAAAGAAATATTTCTAATGTTTCAAGGTTGTTTAATGCTAAAAATAGTTGACAGAAAGTTGCACTTAAACATCCAATCATGTGACCTGGTTTTTAAATGGTATATATCTAAACAAAGTAATAATGTCATACAAGCAACTGTGAAGCTTGACATATCACTTGAAAATAACAATTAACCTCTTAATAAAAAGAGTATTTGGTTTATTTGTTTGATAAAAATTACATACATGAGCCGTGTCACAACAAAACCAACATAATGGGTTTGCGACCAGTATGGATCCAGACCAGCCTGCGTATCCGCGCAGTCTGATCAGGATCCATGCTGTTCGCTTACCAACCCTATAACAAGTAAAGAAACTGATAGCGAACAGCATGGATCCTGATCAGACTGCGAGGATGCGCAGGCTTGTCTGGATCCATGCTGGTCGCAAACCCATTATGTTGGTTTTGTCATGACACGGCTCACATATTTCTTACTATGACTTGCCATCATCAGTGACAAGCTTAGTTACAACTCTTATTTGTATGGTTACAGCCTATCTGAGAACTTTGCCATGGATTTCCAATAAGTCACCAAAATTGCACCATGGGATACCACCTTTCTTGCCTAATGATGTAAACTTTGTCCTTTTAAAATTAGCCAGCTTCAAAGCAGGCTGTAGTTCAGTAACAAAGCATATATATATCCTCTTTTGAAGTATCAATTGATGTTGATTCAACTTGACCTAAACAATTAAGAAAGTGGCAAATGATCTTCAACCTGACTAGTTTTCTAACCTTAGTACTTTGCTATTTAAGTCTCAAACATAAACCAAAGCCAGCCAAGTCTACTGTTCACACTAAGTGGCAAGACAACTGCTAGATCTTACAGATTTACTTGTACAACTCACATATTTTGTAACATATCTATACTTTATTAACAGCTGCTTCAGCTACTCAAATGCAGCTCTTAAAATTCTAATAAAAATCTTTTAAACAAACAATTTCATAGCAATTAAAATGTTTAAACTGAAACCTTTAACAACAGGCAAAATTCTATCTCAGAATCTGCACAATACTATGCCAGAATCTACAAATAAACACCTTCAGATAATACAGGAAAGTTTAAACAATCTTGAATTGCTTGCTGGATGCCAAATGTCTGCAATTACAATAGCTTTATCACATAATTAAACAGATGCATAAAACAACTCGATTTTTTTAGATGAAGCAAATTATAATTTTCAATATTATAACTTCTATGTCAGAGTGGGATAAAGAGACACCTGATATAAGTCATCAATAAGGGTGTTTATAAATGAACGATCAGACAACTGTATTTGTTGCAAATAGGAAACTTTTAAGTATTTATTGACAGAAGTCATGCTTTTTTTTAGTGAAGTCAACTGCTGGCACTATAAAAGTCATCAGGCAAACTTCCAGTGAAAACTGAAAGTGCCAATCTTTTTCAACATCATTTAAAACGCAAGTTGAAATGATCTGGCATGGCATACATGTCCGACTGAACAAAAAATTAGCTGATAAGTTCATAAGTGTTGTTTCATATATAAACATATATTGCATAGTTATCTCAAAATATTTGATAATCCTTATGCCAGTCAAACAAGTTGTTAACAGTGTTGACAGAGGTGTATGTATAAAGTTATTGTTAAAGGCCATATAAAAGTTATACATATTATAAATTCCTATTTGTGTTCCTGAATTCCAACAAAAATCATTACTACTCACCTTAATGTAACAGCTTGAAAATTGCACATGCATTCTATACTAATTGATATAAAGTATGCTGTAAGCTTCTTTAAGCTCTGCATATGGTTTACATTTAGATACACAAGACGAGCATTTGCAATTTGATTAACCGCAAGTCCACAAATAAAATTTTTAATTAACAATGAATAAATTAATAAATTAGAGGTTACATATCTATCACACAGTCCATCATTAGCTATAGTGACTTCACTTTGAACTGAGGTCAGAACATATGAATATGTATGGAAAGTATACACACACACAGTGACATAGCTTTTTTCACAATATCTGAACTGAATTTAGTCATATTTAAAAAGTAATCAACACAAAGGATCAAGAAACACTTGTACTAAAAGAAATTATAGATGTTAGTGCCAGACATGCTAATCACTAAATGTTATCAGTAGGGTGTGGATGGCACAGTGTATTATAAGTATGCACTACCTTTAATCTTTTTTTGTTAAAGAAACAGTTTCAGAAATGTAATCATTTTCCCAATCAACATAATTCAGACACCGTGAAAAATACTACCATCATGAAACTATTTTGTTTTTGAAATCTTTTTTTTTGTATTTTAAAAAGGGCACCAAAATTCAGTAACACCAATGAAACAGCTTTTTTAAATCGGCCAGTTAATGCTTCATTCACACAAAATAGCAATGCAAAAATAATCGATTATCAATAGGCTGGCATCTGAACAGTCATTTGCTGACAGCGATTTTCTTTCAATTATATGATTTTTTATTCAATATCTATTAAAAAACAAAACCCCTTTCAGGGTTTTACATCTCTTTGAAATTTTAGGGGTCCAGTGGATGCACAGCCTAGAAAAGTAGGGGTCCAGGCCTAAATTTTAGGGGTCCAAAATTATATTCACTATAAAAGACTATGAAGACCACTCCATTTTGCTTAAAATCATTTATTTACCCTGTGAGAAATATGCATGTATATTATACTGTTTTCATGAGAAGTATATGATTTCAATATCTTTTATCACTAGGTTTTTTTGAGCCCTTTACAATAATATCGTGTGCTATTTCCAAGGCTTATAAGTCTTTGAGTGGCTGGAATGTCAAGTTTTAGTAGCATATTTTGTTATTGATAAGGTGATACACCAACAGACTGAAAATTTGTACTGATCTATTTGTAAATATTTTAGCTGAACTAGTAAACACACAATAGATATCTTTACAGACCAGTCAGATTAATATGTTGCGTTTTTAAAAATATCATATAACACAAGGCCGACGAAATCGCTTTTGCACCTCCTCATAAGTTAAGTTTGCCGAAACAATTATATTTATAACACCAACGATAATAACATACTCAGTGACTTAATTCCTTTAACACTATGAAAATAAGTTTGCAAAAAGCACTGCTTTTTTTATTATTGCCGTTCATGTACAAAATACATTCGCCTAACTGGTAGATCAACATTGGATACGCTAACCGTTATAAATAGTCCGTCTAAATACAGCAACAGAAAAACCAAAAAAAACAGCTACCTAAAATAGATTTTACGGTAAACGTCATCAGTTACTGTAGCTTGCACGATAAACGTCATCAGTTTCTGCAGTGGGCACTTGCAAATAGCATGCGCAGTAGATTTCAATTATGTTAACTTCCGAAATAAACAAATGCAAGCATTTTATGCACGCTGTATTAAATTTAAATGGAATTTTGTGAGCTTCGAGAAGAAAGAGATAAAATCATGTCCGGTCAGAAACAATAATATCTACTGTCTAGGATTATTTTTGTGCGTACACTTGGACGCAAGTGGATAACTTATATGCGTACATGTCAAAATTTATGCGTATAGGGACGCAGAATTCTGCGTCCCGTAAAACCCTGCCCTTTGTACAACGAAATAAACAGAAACAGTTCTGTGGAGATGGCTTCTTCATTGTCAACAAAATGCCAATAGCCGGAAAGGTTACAATTTCAGAATTTCAATGTCTAAGTGTGAAAATGTGTTAGCAAGTTCTAAAGCCAAACAATATGATAAAAGATAAGTGAACTTGCAGAATTAACCATTTTATATACATAATACATATGTAGTAACAGTACTTCTCAGTCAGTCAGCAGATATATCAATAATAATGACAATTGAAATTATGAATAAAGTAATGTTAATATACTGTATCATTGCTTTTTAGTCGAGCGTAATTAACTTATGCATTTGAACTGTATTCATGCATGTAATTCCCTTTTTGAGAAGTCTTTATTTTCAATTCCAATCATATGGTAACTAAACTGTAACTTACATACACATACATGATGGTAAAATTATTACTAATGTTTTCAAATGAAAACTCTTTCTCCATTTGTCACATACTTCTAATGGACACATTGGAGTCCCATTCTGTGAAATTTTATAAATGAGTATACTTTTCAGCTGGACACTGAATGGTTTATAAATGTATAACATATTGAGAGATATAAACTGTTACTTGACAAATTTATCTCATGACCGAACAAAATATTTCTTGATTTCTATGCCATTAATGATTAAATCAATCTTATCAGTACTTCAAGGAATTCAAAAGCATACAAATTAAGCAATTTTTATTAATAAACATGTTAAAATTAATACAAACATTAATAAATGTGTCTTTCAAAATTGTTATGACCGTTTAAATCATGATCTGTTTGGGAAATTCAAAAAAAACTTATTTAAAATAAAATATAGATCTGTATGGTAATGGCAAAAAATACAACTGAAAATCCAATTTTAAATAATCAAAGTTACTACTTAACACTTCACTGATTATGTATTGGTAACAATGGGTGACCTTGACTCCCACTTATCAATAGAATAGTGAGAGTTAAAATTAGCTTAAATTCAAACCTCTCTTCCTGTTGGGACATGCTTGGCAAGCTTAACTTTTGCAAAATTTCCTTTCCCTATAGTCTTTATAAGTCTGTATTTCCCGATATGAGGTTCATCAGTTCTAGATTTTGAGGATGAGACCCTTGAATTTGATTTCTCATCTTTCTGCAATGAAAAAAGTGGGTGGGGTTATGACAATGTAGAGAAGACAATTATTATCGATTAAATGACTAATCGCATATGCATTTGACAGATACTTACTCTATGTTCAGACATAACTGATTCGTGAACTGTCTGAAGTTGGGCTCTTGTTGATGGAGTCGACATTTTGAATTTCTAATCAGTCTTTTTTTTCACTCGATGACCGACGAAATCCCTCGTTACACCATTTGCACACAAAAGCCAAAAAATTCCAGCAACTATGTCGCAATGGTCGATGAAATCTCACAATTAAACAGAAAGATGGACAACTGTCAATTCTGTTATGCGAAATTTACAGAACTGTCACTTTTCTACACGGTAACGTGCTTGGTTTTCGACTGTTTCGTACCGAAAATAGAAACTGCCCTGGAATTGGGCAATTTTCCGGTGCTGAAAATGTAATATTATGAAAAGAATTTGGGTTTTTCTCCATTAAATTCATTAGATTTATATTCCAAGAGTTATTCTGATCCAGTAAAATGTCTAAATTTCCACAGAAAGTCGAGATCCATGCCAAAACTATTCGTAACCGAATTTCTTAATATTGTTTTCGCCCAAAATGGCCGACTTCCCTTCTCCACGCGAAAATACGACCTTCTTGCGCATGTCGTCACGGCAATACCTGTAAATGATTGGCTAAATGGTTTCAATATGACATCATATAACGTAAAACAGCTGATGATGAGAGTAAAGCCCAGTTGATATTGTCAAATACAGAATTCATTTACTTGATCGATAATCAGCTGATGCAAATGGAACTAATATAATATCTTTCGTGCAAAAAATGAATAGTCAGCAGAAAGGACTTTGAGATTCGTATGAAGGCATAACGACGGTCAGTAGCACGGGATCTGTTCTGTGCATCAGGGCTCCGTATACAATCACATAATATAGCCCTTTATTTTCATAGTTAAGCAAAATGTCTGGCTAAAATACATGATTTAAATAGATAAACATTTTTAAAGCACCAAGTCCTACATTTAGCTGCAATAATTGGATGATGATTATGGCCTATTTTTAAAACTGCCCCGAATCCCTTGCCCTTGCCGTGGAATTGAATGGCGATAGGGACCATGATTTTTTTTCACACGAGGACGCTTTCAATGCAGATAGCTTATGCGAACTACAAAAACTTCAAATTAACAAAACAAATGTATAAGTCTGTTCTTATTTATAGGTTATCATGCTTAAATTAATATGTTTGAACGATGGGTCGCTTAAATTGCTGACTATCTATAGAATATTTAACAGGTTACAGGGAGCCCTATATAATTTTATAGATCTATCAAGACCAGTGTCCATCTTTTCACTGCATTTGTACCCTGTTGATGCCATCACAAGATTCTGGGACAGAAAAGACATACATTTTTAGTCCCCGGTTATCGTTTTTTTTAGTGTTCTTCGCAGTTCTTCTCTGAGGCAATATTGCTTTTAAAAAGTTGTGTTACAGCTGGCAGACGCTAAGATGTAACCGGGACATGCGGGAAGTCTGTTGCCCTAACTTAATTGTAGATAATTGATTGATTAATGATAACCTTCTAGGAACCTTACATTTTACCCATTAAGGTCCGCGGAACCTTATCTGCAGATAGGATATGTTTGACTCTTACTGATGAATTAAATTGTATGTTGTGTGAAACGGCTGAATTATTGTTACTATTCTATATTATTTCCTAAGATTAGACGATGGGAGACAATTTAAAAAAAATGTCCGGAGAAATTTGGTATTTTTACTACGAGGTTGTCTCTCTTTTGTAAACGCGACACAATTGCATATAAAGCGAAAATATCAAACATTTGGTGAAAAAAGATAAAGAATATCATTCCTACATATCTAACTGTTCAACTAACCCACATATTTTCATTTCTTTTCCATTTCTTTTCAATAGAACGTTATTGACCAAACAAAATATATGTAAAAGAAATTTCAGTACATTTAACACAGAGTAAAGAAATGGTGTTATAACTTAGAAAAAAATATTGTGGAAGATATGTGTGGACTAGGAATTAAAATATACAGAGTGCCGAAATTTCGTACCAACATGTTTCTAGTGCACATAATTATAAAGCATAAAGTATCATGCGCACATGCACTAGTTGAAATTTACAGTACTCATGTTTGCATTTTAGATTTTCCCTGACCGTAGGACTTTAATTCCTCTTCACTTGACAAAAAGTCACTTGAAAAGTTATCTTCAATATTAATGTCGGGGCTCAACGTATATAGAACTAAATGTTATTAGATTTCTTCAAAGTGACAATAAAAAGGGGCATTAGAATTTTAAAAGGTTTTTTATTATGAATACGTTTTTCATACAGCTCGCTATATACAAATATTTAAAAAATCCATATTCTTAATTCATTTTCCTGTTTAATCAAGACGCAATATGTAAACACACAAAGTTATAATTTAGATAGACTTTATTTGATAAATGATATCATAGCATTGTTATAGTACACAAAGCATATTGTACCTTTAAATCAAATCCAGATTAAATACATAAACAATATTCTATATAATGCAAATAGTATCAGTACTGTAGTGCGGTGATTAAGTCATGTATATTTTGTATATTTGAAGTTTAAGGACATTACAATTAACGCTTTTTTGTCATTCTTTAAGGAATTATATCATATTTGAAATGGTAAGCTTATATTTAATGTTTTGTTTGTGTTGTCCTTAGTAGTAGAAACTTGATGTAAGATCCGGGGAAGCTTAAATTTTACAATACGTATGAAATGTGGACCTTAGAGACAATAGTTCTACCATCTAGTTAAACCAGTATACGGGCAATTTCTTTAAAACAATGTATATACATTTGAAAGAAAATTTTGTCCTTCTGCAAGGAAGACATCTTAAATGTTATGCAAACTAACTTTGTGTAATAGACTTTGTTTGAGTTTCTCACTCACTACTGTTTGGGTTTTTTGGTTAAGTCTAATGGACACTGTAATGGCCATATTACGACTTTCCGGCTTTACTGATGGAGAATGAACGCAGGTGAACCATTTAGCATTACATGAAATTCATTCGTTCATACATACAAAGTGCCCATAAGTACTAGACACACATGTCAAGGTCATTTTGTATATACATGTATACGGTGGTGGTGTTGGTAATTTTCTCTGCGGATCAGGGCAGCAAGCCACATTAAATTTACCAGAGCACAGTTGGGAAGGCTGTCAAGCAGTTTACCAGTACTACAACTTTTATACATACCAGAGCAGAGGTACAGTGCGAATGATCGTAGAAAGGATTTCATGATCAATTTCAACGGAAAGTGACCTGCGTCGTCCGGGAATCGAACCCGGGTCGCCCCATTCACAGTCCAACGCTCTACCTATTGAGCTAACCGGACGGCTTTTTACATTGTATATATACTGTCATGTATTATCAATTTCTATCATGTTATGGTGTAAAAGAGCAAAAATAAAATAACAATAGAACGACAAAGGTTAAATGAAGCCTAAGTTTTACATATGGTACAAATTAAGAACCATTACATCTACATACCAAATATATAACATATATTTTTAAATAGCTTTTTTTATCAGAAATATATTTACATCCTGATTATACCATACTTCATTGAAACCTAAAGATTGTAGAAGTAGCCCATGATGTTGCATTTTGGTACAAAATGTAAAAATATGCTGATTTGCAAGGAAACAAACTTATTTTGGGTTAAATTTTAGGAAAAACAATACAAATAACAATAGTGACTGAATCAAAATACGGACCAAGAAAGGGTAAAGATCCTTTCTTGATCAACTTTTAAACATGCGTATTATCAACACTTTTTAAAAACAAATCATCTGATGCTATTTCAAGCTTATTTTTAAGCTAACATATTCTAAATCTATTATAAAACGCAAATGGTAAATTCTGAAGTATTTAATCCTAAATATTAGTGCACACGATGCCAGGGTTCGTAGATTCATTGTCTGTAATAGAAAACAAAGGTCTTAAATTAGCTCCGTCATCCGCTTCCCAAACTTTCGGACGAGGCTTTAAACTGAGGTCCGATGTTGAAGGTTTACATATTATGCTCTTCTGAACCAGTATTTACAAATACATTTGATAATCTTTGTACCCCAAAACCATCATAAGGGTTTCAGGCTCGACTATTGATACAACGTATGATAAAACAAATGTAGGTAATATGTTGACCAAAATACGGTATTCGGAAACAAACATAAAATGTTTTACTTGTTGAGCAAGTTATAACTTATGTTCTATGCTTATTTATACATTTTAGTCGGGTTCAAGTGATGAAGAAGAAGTGGACGAAATTGCCAAACTTGGTCTGTCAAAAGAACAACTTTCAGGTTTGTTGCTGTTTACTTGTGACTGGAGAAGACTTCTGTTGTTGTTAGATGTTTATCTCCAACCACATAGCTATATTAAAATTAGAGATTCATAGCATATTGTTCATAGCAATCCGGAACATCATGATTATTTCTAAAACAAAGTTATAATATTGAGAAAATTGAGAAAACTGAATAAATAGATATTGTCTCTAGCTATAGAGTAAATTAAAACATGTCTGCAATGTTAGAAAATTATGTCGATTTTGTTTTTTAATTTCATTTACATTGAAATGTTATTACATGACTAATATTGTCGTAATTAATGATTTCATTTTATAAATATGTAATTATATTTTTTCAACTTATTATTATTCATTTTTTATAAGATTTTCAACGTGCATTTGACTTGTTTGACCCGGACGGTGATGGCACGATCACGACTCTTGAGTTAGGTACAATTATGAGGGTCATAGGTCAGAACCCCACAGAGGCGGAACTTCAGGACATGGTGAACGAAGTTGACGAAGACGGTAGGCTGTTATACTTCTCGACGCTTTTCACTAAATAATTATTAATTTCACAAAAATATTTCATAATCATTACATTATGATGTCAGTATGACATGGAATGTCAACTGTGAAGTATATATAGTTGTTTGCTATTTAAGACTTACATGAAAAGACGTGTCGACCCAGAGTCTTAATTGTACTCTGGTAAAACATAAATGTTGGCTTGTATTGGATTAGAAACAAGGTGACTCTTCAAATAAGTTAGTTTGTATTAGATACATGTTTATTTATTTATTTGTGTAATGTAAACATACTGCTCAAATCCTATCAAGAGAAGCCCATCATATAAATCTCCGTGTTGCCAACCCAGTTTATATGTTTAATGCAGGAAATGGAACAATAGAGTTTGACGAATTTGTTAAAATGATGGCATCGAAAACGTCAACATCGAATTCTGGCGTCAACAGAGAAACATTTGACGTTTTTGACGTAGAGAAAACTGGTTACATAACAGCCAAAGGTATAATTTTGTTTATTATTTCAGCCCTTACTCTTCTTAATTTATGACATCAATTTGTCTTTCTTTGAACTTAAAGCGGTTCAATATTTATTTTAGGTATTTCTCTTATACTTTTAACAAACTGACAGTATTAAATCTGTGAAGACTGGACGAATGTGACGTAAGTCTATTATCCTGATAAAGGTGTTGTTCACCGAAACGCGTCGAAAAAGAAATAATAATATTTTGAAAAACTGTACGTGTTGTTGTTGTTTAAACGTCGTTTTGTAAGTCTATTATAACACCCAAACATATATCGTGCTCAAATATAATATTTAAAAATACTGATAATTGCTATTATATATATATCTCTCTTTTTAAGTGTAAAATAAACATATTTTGAGTACACATAGAGAAGATATGTTAAGTTTAGAGCTCTACACATTATATCTAAACACAGTGTCATTAAAATTATTGCATTTGTTCAGAGACATAGATAACAGAAACATGCAACTCCCTATCACGCGTGATAAAACTTATTAACCAGATATCTAAATCAGTAAAATAATACATTTTCTGATAGCTTATGCATTTGTCTATGGCTGCATGTAAAAACATTTACAGTTCTCATTTAAATAAATGATGCATCATTTTTTTTAAAGAGAACTACTAATTAATTTTTGGTACAAATTTAACTATTCATATGACGAAAAACTGGCTCAGTAGGTATGTTCTGTTATGTTTCTTTAGTGAAAGGCGTGGAAAGTTGCCACTATATTAGCATGCAACAATAGATCAAAACTTTCAAATGGTATATAATATTAAAGGATCAGATGTAAATCCATTATGTTTTACTTGCTACAAAAAGCCTAATTTTTCACTTTTTGATTGGCATGAGTGATGTTTCAATGGAGTTTATAGGAGCTTCTTGTCCCCTGATTTGTTTTAGTTCTAAATGATCACATTCACTTGATCTGTAATATTTAGTTATCGCATGACCGCCACAACTTTTCTTTGAAGATCAGCGTTCTCTAAATTTCGGTATTGGAAAACTTTGGGGTGCTCTAAATGAGGTATCAGTACGCCAAATGGGGTGCTCTAAATGAGGTATCAGTACACTTTCTCGCGCATGCCCAGTTTATTATTTTATTTCAAATAATAAAGTGAGCATACCTGAAAAAGAGTAAAACAAAACATTGCACAGTTTACAGAACTTTTTTTAATATTCATATATCATCTCTATCTTTTTCTCTTTTTTTTAAACCTGAAAATGCAGTTATTATAAAGATGTTGTGGAAAGAAATCGGCATTTTCTGCATCCTGACCTCGAGGACAAATCTGAAACAATGATCAAATTATTCTTTTTATTTTTACTTTAAACAATGCCTTCGTTTACAGGAGATTCTGACCAGTAAGCCATTCAGTAAATCAGTACACGTATATGAACATACTATTCTAGCGTAATTATTAATAGATGGAAGTAGTGTTAAAGGCACATTATGCGTCAGAAATTTTTATTTCTCAAAATTTTAAATATTTGGTGTCTTGTTACAAGTTCCACAAAAAATACTTATTTGCCATATAAATGAACTATCTTTGCATCTTTTGCTTTGCTGGCAATTGGTATAATTATAATGAATTAGTATTTTGTATGGAAGTCAAAATACTATTAATTTTTGTTTACATTTTGCTACCTTTGCGACACATTACTGCACATTCAGCACTACTTTCCTCAGCTGTTAAATATCTTACATGTTCTAAATCCATTATTAAAAAACCTGATTAGAACATGTGTTTTACATTTCTAAAGAATTTAATAAAAAGGATTTCTGAGGCATAATGTGCCTTTAAGTAAAAATCACTACATTGTCGTTAGTTTTAAAAAATACGCGTACAAGATATACCTCTGAAATATACACCAGGATACTTATCGACAATATTTTCCTAGATTATATTTTGAAAATGAGCTGGAAGATAATTATTATTTCGCAATTAGAAAAATGCATCACATTACCTCGTGAAATTGTTATTTATGTACAGTTCCTTCAAGGGCATCTAGTGGGTGTATTTCTGTGGTATTTCTTAAAATATTTATATGTTTAAATAAAGAAAATATTTACGAAAGAAGAAAAAAGTCGTGATGGTCATGCGATAAAACAGTTACAGAATAAATACTCGACTTCACCGGCTGGTATCAGCGCACGGGGCGACAAAAGGGTCAATCATGGAAATTAATCTCGACGTTCCGTCTCGATTAATTTCCTATGATTGACCTTGTTTGTCGCCCCATGCGCTGATACCAGCCGGTAAAGTCCTCGTATATATTCTATAACTATTACGTATGGAACTTCACAAATAAGACATACATGTATTTAGTAAGATTTCTGCAATAAAAGTATTTTAATCAAGATGAACATTTATTTTGAATACTACTCCTAAATACCCATTTTATTTACGGAAATAGCATAACATATTAGACCGGCTAACGATTATTACATAAATTAGCGTGAAACTCTTTTATGTTTCTAAAAATAATCTCCAAAGGCTTCCATTAATTTGAAGGAAAATTTTTTTAACCAAAATTGATTTTTTAAGTTTTAATTTAAAGAATATTCTGATATATAAAACTTCATTAAATGAGGCGCGTTCGAGATTGGTTGGGAAAAGCGGCCATGACTTTCTGAAATATTTTGATTTCCATTTTTCTTTAAGTAGAACAGAACGGGGCATTTGGGGAAAAAAGGGTTTGAGGTAAAACTGTTTTAAATTTTAATTTTGTCTGTTTATGCAAAAAAAATCAAAAACCAAAAAAATTTTGGCTATTTTTATAAAATTTTAAAAGGGGGATGCTGGAAAGACTTAAGGGAAGGGAAAAATGAATATTTTTCAGAAAGTTGGGCAAAACTTTCAAGAAAAAATGAATGTTGTTTTTTTTAAATTTTGAAATAAAAAAAAGATGGAGAAAAAACTAGGGAAGGGGGACCTTTTAAAATTTAGACGTCATCGAAAGGGGATGAAAAAAAACAGTAGAAAACAGACGGGGATGGGAAAATTTGGGTTGATGGTGGGGGTTTTAAGTTTATTGGCCTGGGGGGTTTTGGATAGTCCTTTCTAAATTTTAAATTGTCATAAAAAAATCGATTTTTTTTCCTTTTTTTTAAATTTGGGGATGTCTTTTACCAAAAATTTGATGGAGATTTGGGTGGGGTAAAAAACTATAAAATAAAGCCAGAATGCGTTTTTAAAATTAGTTATTAAAAAAACCCCAAAAAAAAGCTAGGGTGGTGTGTTGTGATGGGGAAAGGGGATTTTGTTTAAGGGGTTTGGGTTTTGAAATATTTCAAATTTCCTTTTTTATTTGGGGTGTTTGGGTTTAACATTTAAATTTACTTAAAAACATTACAAAAATATTAAGTTTTGTAAAATTTGTAATGTTTTTCTATCTGCTTTCCCCGTTTTTCTTCGTTTTTGGGCCCCAAAAAAAATTTTTTTATAAATCAAATCAAAACATTTTTGGGCAAATTTTTTTCTCCAAAAAACAAAATTTAAAATTTTTTTTAAAATCCAAAACTTTTAATAAAACAAAAATTCCCTTTGCATTCAGAAATTTGAGGGAATTGGGTTAAATTTTTACGAGTCGCCCTTTTTAAAAAAAAAATCTCGAATTTTAAAAAAGAAATGTCAAGGGAAAATTAAAATTTCCTCAAAAGGGCGCTTTTGAGAGTTCAAAAGAGATAAATTTATCCCGCCCAAACAGAATTTTTATGTTAATTTTTTCGACCAGTATTAGGGGGACCATATTTTAATACCCCAAATTTTTTTTTCGAATTTTTTTATTTAATAAAAAAGTTAAAATTGTAAACAAAGAAAATTTTTAAAATTTTTTGGGATGAAACAATTTAATGTTTATATCAATACGTTTATAAATTACAAGTTGGTGAATTTTTTATTCCGTCCTTTAGTGACCTTAGTACCGTCATTGAAACTTGTCCGATGCATAGGACAGTATAGTGTAATTTTCCTCTTTTAGTACATGTACTCGTACATCATATAACAGAACAAACTACAAAGAGCAGACTTAGATATTTACTGGACAGTTTCTGTCATAGTATTTATCCTGTACATTTGACTGAAGGGTACGTGACTGCAGAGTATGTAACTGAAGGGTATTTAGCTGAAGGGTATGTGACTGAATGGTATGTTACTGGAGGGCATGTTATTTAAGGTTATGTAACTAAAAGGTATGTAGCTGAATAGTATGTGACTGGAGGGTATGTGGCTGCAGAGTATGTAAAATGAAGGGTTACGTGATTGCAGGTATGTAACTGAAGGGTACGTGATGCAGAGTATGCAATGAAGGGGGTTGTGACTGGAGGGATGTTATTTAAGGGGTGTAACTGAAAAGGGTATGTAGCTGAAATAGTATGTGACTGGAGGGTATTAACTGAAGGGTACGTGACTGCAGAGCATGTAATGAAGGGTATGTGACTGGAGGGGGTATGTTTTTAAAGGGGAATGTTATCGAAAGGTATGTAGCTGATAGTTATGGACTGGAGGGTTATGTGACTGCAGAGTATGTAATGAAGGGTAACTTTGACTGCAGAGTATGTAACTGTTAGGGTATAGGACTGGAGGGTTAATTGTTATTTAAAGGGATGTAACTGAAGAGTATGTAGCTGAGGGTATGTGACTGGATGGTTGTGGACCTAAACTCCCTACTTATTCGAAGTCACTTGGCTATTTCGTTTAGAAATATATGGCACCCGGAAGCAATAGATGTTCCCGAACCCCCGGATAAAGTAACCCCGAGGGGAAAAAGGTTATTAATCAAAAATGTTATGAAAAGGGTTGGGAAAACATTTTAAAGATCGTATAGCCCAGGAAAACAAACACTTTTTAAAAATAGATAAGGTTTTTAATTTGGACTTTAAAAACAAAATTATCCAAGTTCTTTTAACCCACTGCAATAGAATAACAAAATAGTAATTTAAAAAATACCAAAAAATTTACATAATTTTCCCGTAAAAAATCAGTAAGCCCAAACAATGAAAGTGTTCCTTTCACGTGAAAATTAATTTTCATCATTATTAAGTAAAAATTTTAATTAATGAAACGAAAAACATTAATTTTTAAATTAAAAATTGAAACTGGCTTTTTCCAAAAAAACAGAACACAATGTCTATTCAAAAATATTGCATCTAGTGACTTTTCGCAAGTCTAATCAGTTTTGATTCTAAAGGGAAGTTACTGACACGACGACACTTTCCAAGTTAAATGGCTTTCCTCTCTTGGGCTCCCTCAGAATTTTTTTAAAAAATTTTTGCCCTTTGGAACACAAACGTTTTTTGTACAAAATAAAAAAACTAATAAAAAAAATCAACACGTGGAAAAAATGCCCCAAAATTTCACCCCCCAAAACTTTAAATCGTGTTTTAAAAATTTTGCAAAAAAATAAAAAGAAAACCCCTGAAAAAAACCCTTTTAAAACTAAAAAAGGGAGTATTTCGGGATTCACAGTATTAAACAAAAAGGTTTTAAGTTAAAAAATATATTGGCTTTTTAAAAAATTGATTGATCAAAGTTTAAAGGACCCTGTAAATCGCGACGTTTTAAAAAAAAAATTGGAAATTTCAAAGGTTTTCCCGGGTGATGCGATTATTTTGTTTATCCACTGTGTAATAATATTATCAGAACGACAGTGTATATTCCATTTAGTGTGTTTTTTTTGCTGCAGAATGTTTCGATTTTTTATTGTCCTTGTTAAAATTTAAACAAATCAAGGACGGATTAGCCTATTCTTTGTATTGCCCCTGTTTTTTCATAATTTAAACAAATTTTCCCCAATTTTGTATGTGAAATAACAGAAGTTTTTATTTAATTTAAAATAACCTGTTCCCGGGGTGACAGCCAAATTTCTGTCTAGCATTGACATTAGAAGCCTATTTACAGCCAGAAATCGTAATTTAAAACTTTTGTTTTAATAAGCTGCCTGAATAAAACATTCGTAATCAATTACTGGGATATTGGACATACAAGGAAATGCTGGTATCAACATTTTGTTAACCCATTACTTCATGAGCATTTTGTTAAAATGTCAGTTATCACTGAAAAGCCTCCTGTTACAAGTTCAAATTGCTATGAAACTATAAAAGAAAGCTTCGATGCTATTCAAACTTGGCACAAATGTTAACCGCATACTCAATCTTAAATTTCCTGTTACCATGACAACGCAGGGACATCTCAAAATTACCAAAAAATCACTTTTTTGCGTTGATTTTTCCATCAAAACTGATTTCAAATTGCATCAATTCTCAATGGATTGAGATAGAGTCAAACGCTTTTCAGCGTTGGTTACACGTTACCTTCAGGTCGACCTGAGGCAATTTTTAGCCTCCCACAAGTCCGAAATTGTCTTGACAATGACGGGGCCCCTTCAAATTCCCTAGCAGAAGGGTGCACACCCCATCTGGTACCCCCTTGATGTATCTATTTGATAGGGGATTGCGCCGAAAAAGTGATCACTTTTTTAACACCTTTTCTCATTTGAAAGTGTTTGGGGTCTAAAGAGGGCATTTTCCCATTATTTGAGGCCTCAAGGGGGGGGGGGAGGCGGCGTGAAAAGACATCTATATGAAGTGATGGGTTAATGAAATTTTGTTTTCTGAAATTTATACGTTAAATTGAGTCTGAGTTTTGAAACTATGCATTGTACTTTTAGCCATTAGCATTACACTATATATTCAATACTAAGTGTCAGATTATTATATTTATTACATTCATATCACACCAAGCAATTTCTGTTTCTATACTAATATGTACATGCATATGCTTTTTCTGCAAATAAGCAAACATTTGTCTCCTTTACTTAAAACAGTGATTTGCATGACAATAAGAATAGTCTAGTAGAGTTCCTCTCCTTGGTAGATAAATATCTGTTGTCTGAAGGTAAGCATATTGTTGACATGGAACCTCAATCAGGAAGAAGAATGCACTTTTGAAAAGAAATTGTATTTGCGTGAATATAACAAGTCCGCCAAATTAACTCTTGTTCGGATAATCGATTGTTGGGGTTTGAATACCGAGAGATTATGCTCTTTCCACTATCTATCTTAGAAGGAATTGATAAAACCGAGTCTACAATCTTTAAATATTTACTCTTTACGGTTTCTTTTGTGGAATTTCTATTTAATGATTTTTCTTCTTTTCCGATCAGTAATATATATATATATATTAGCGGTCTTAGAAAGCAAACAAAATAATGATTGCGGCATTTATTACGGTTGAGTGCACACCCTACCTTCATAAACAAGTGCAACCTCTGACAGCATCGTCAGAAAATTCAGTTTTGACTTCGTGGTCTGACGAGTTGTTATTTTTGATGCATCTGCATCTTCCTGTTGTGACATAAAAACGTTCGTCAGAGGAATTTTAAAAAAAACTATTCTCTTAAAAAGATTTGTTGCGCTTTGATATTCAAAATTGGCCTTTAGAATTTACACAATAGGAATTATAATATAATAGAATAAATATACTTGACAAGCAGTCCAATTTCATATAACGATCATGCGATAAATGTTTTTTTTTATTTTGTGAAACTTTTCATAGCAGGATTAGGGTGCTTAAACTATAATATGCAAACAATTCGTGGAGCAAGAAACATACATGTATAAATTATCTGAAATTATAGAAAATTATATAAAGATTCAAATGAACTTAAATTGTATTTATTGTTGTGGAGAACTCTATAGAAGTATTTGTAGTAATACTGACTCTCCCGCAATATTTAGGTTAACAATTCATAATTCATGTTATATTGATACGGTCTGATTCTGAAACCTTAGTTATTGTGTAATTGTATTATTAGTCGCCGGTAGAAACCGGCGACTATATTTGTAACAGTTTAATATAATATCTATGGTAGGAGACGGCCTTAAAATCTGTATATAAAAGCAAATCAATTATTGAACAAATAAGGACCACAATTATTTTTCATAATCTTAAAAATTCAAACCTAAAGTAACGTTGCTAAATAAAATGAAATATACAAATATTGACATCTTAAAAAGCAACATTACAATTTTCATAAAATGAATTAATAATGTATCCCTATGGACCAGTCATTGAATTTAGGGATACTTTTACCTTTTCTCTATGTGTCAAGCGTTGCTATTTTATGATAGATAAATCATGAATGATATTTGAAATGACACTTTTAAAATATTTCGTTGTTTATATCTTATGCGACCTATTATATTTCATTATTTTATTTAATTATAAACAAATTCTCCCTATTCTTTTGTAAGAATCACGTGACTTCACGTTGTATGTTAGTGTTATAAAATCTATTAATAGTAACAGATTGCTGATAAGACATACAGGTAACTTGTGAATAGTTGGCAAAGGTATGGCGGCTGATAAGATGCAAATCATAGTAATTTTGTATAAATAATTACAAAGTTATTTTTCATTAATCAGTTTCATAATTTATATCATTAGAAAGGTCTGTATACTCAAAATTTACACATTAAAGAATAACTTTTCAAAACCTTTTCATTTTTTCTTGGTAAAGGGTTTAACTTGGCCCTTTCTGTCAACGTTTCAATAGTTAAGTTTAGGTTGAACACCACAAAATAGATTTATGCTAAAGAACAAAATAGTCGTCTTTGTTATATTCTTTCATTTCAGTCGCGCAGGTTACCAAAACGGTATGACGATAGTGATCCGGAATCGTATTAGATACAAAGAGAAAACTAATTAAATATCTTTTTGTTGAGATTTTATCGAACTGAAAGGCAATTAAACGTTAACTATATCGTATGTAACAACAGGAATATTGATTTCAACTAAATTATATATTTTTTTGATAGCGCATAAGAATTTTTTTTTTTATGCAAATACCACTTTTACGGTAGAATTGCATTGTTTCATACAATAATTAAAACATATATATTTTCAGAGTCACTTCGATGACCGTTAATACAATACTTATTTCGATGTCTGGTGTAACGGTATTTGTATAAGGCAGAATTACAAGTAGAATTACAAGCATATCACTCGCCTTACAAAATTATGAAATGAAAAATAATGCTAGAAATGAAACACACGATTAATCAACATATGTTCCATATGGTTAAAAGAAATAATAAAAAAATATTTTTATGAAAACTACAAAAAGGATTTTCAAAGATTCGAACTTGGCCTACCACTAGGTCACAACTTCGTCATACTTACCACTAGATCATCGAGCAATATTTATTGATTTAATATCGAGATCTATACTATCAATACAATCTTTGGCATCAATCATAATAAGTTACGTAAACTAACGAAACACCTCCCGACAATTCATGAGTCTCAGGTCAATATTGCCAAACAATACTTGCTTATATAATCATAGAGCTTTCAGTTCCTTGACAATATTGCTAAGCAAGTTTGCTTCAAATATGATGTTTTATTGTGAATAAACAGTTTCCTCTTTTCTTTATACTTGAACCATTAATTAAACTGATATTATAAAATAGTAATGATAATACAATCATTTTTCTATCCGGCTACTTGATGCTTTAGCATCAAAACCTCTACTTGTTACCTCATGTTGTTATGTTTGCCTGATCAGAGTGGGTAAATGAATTGAATGAATTGAATAAATGTGGCTCTTCTATATAAACCCGTGGTGGTATATTTCGTCTT